TTGGAGGATGATCTGTCTGTCTGCCAATCCAGGTTCACTGTCCTGATCTCCGCTTACGATTTCCACTGTCAGACTTCTTGCTGCTTCGGTTCAATGAAGCTAACGCTAACTGTGATCTAGCTCTGTTTTTAGGTTGATCGATCATCAGCGCTCATTCAGTAACTTTCTGCTGCTAGAAGGTTCAAAAGCTGTTCTCTTTTTTAACCAAGGAATGTAAAAGTAGACCAGTTTAGTGTAATGTAGAGCCTAATGACCTTTGGATGACCCTAATGAATAACCTTAAAGTTGCCCTGGATAAACAGCCGCTCAGTTCGCTTAACCCTTGGGTCGGCCCTGGTTTCAGCTCTTGTCAAAGATGTTGAATTGTACAGCAGTAGTACAAACGCTTTTTAATGCATTGTAACACTTTAAAGCTAATAAGTTTTGTACTGAAAACATCAAGCTAAGGTGAGAAAATGTGGATTTGAGGTCGACTGAGGATGTTTCTAACACGCGGCAGCGGTACCGCTCTGCCTTAATGACACACGGCTCTTTAACAGCCCACACAGTCTTAAAGCAGAGGGAAGTTTCCGACATGCACCGTTTGCCATGAAAAGCTGTTTACCTGGGCACTCTGAGCTACACCCTGAAACCTTTTATCTATTTCTAACAAAACAGGAGTTTCCCTTTTTGCAAAACAGCTTAGGCTTGTTTGCAAATCAATGCTGCGTCTGTTGCTTTCACTTTACCTCCCGTCCGTGTTTCGACATATGAAATAACCTCAGTAGGTATTCAGTGATGAATGAAGATCTGTTCTGTTTTCCCAGAGAGCTTATCAGGAGGTCAGAAAAAAAACGTTGAAGTTAATTTAAGTTTTACAAGATTTTTCTTCTGTTTTTTAGATTTACGGATTATTTCTGTATGTAAATGACAGATAAAATATTTAGTTACCCCCAGCAGGTAGTGCTTTGCATAGGCATGTGTTAGCATGTGTTGCTCTCTTATGTCTCATATGTCAAAACAAACAATATTTTTTTGCATCAGTTAAAGCTGTAAGAAATGTTTAAAGGAGCAAGGTTCAGGCTTCCTGATGAAGCTTCTAATCGATGTAGATCTAGACTGCTTGCTCTAAATGGTAACATTTTTTATTAAAAACTATACATTTTTTAAGAGGAAAAAGGTTTTAAAAGTAGTCTAGCTTCAGGGTGCGATACATTTAGTGTTTTTTTTTTTAACCTTTTATGCCCTGAGTTCTTTATATGTTTTTTATCCTGGAAAAATAAACTGAAATAAATCGACAACAGCTTCACAAAGGGGAACATTATAAAGATCCAACACTAACCATCATATCCAAGGGAATCGCTTTCATAGCTGTAACCACATCTGATTTATTTCTGTTCAAACAAAGAAAAAATATAACTTCTTTCTTCTTGTTCTGTTTTTAATTAAATTAACAGTAAAACAACAGAAACCCTTTAAGCAGGGGTCTTCCAGGCCAAGGACCCCCAAACTGGTGGGAGATGGAGCGGGGACCCCCTAATTATATATGATTATATATGAAATTATGTTCTATCAAACTGGTCTTATAGTCACTCTATTACATATGGAGTAATGTAACTAAAGTAATTTCTCCCTGGGATTATTAAAGTATTTCTGATTCCTGGTTGATGGGACAGGTGTTGTGAATGAAAAGGTTCCCAGTTTGAAAGAGCTCCTGTGTGTCGCTGAATGTGTTCATTGACGACTGAAAGACATCTTCTGCCTCCATTTATCTGTTTACTACAGTCTGTTGAATTCATGTTAATGTGGATTTAAAGACATTTTAATTAGTGGAAAAATTGTATATAAAAAAAAAGTTTTAAAGTCTAATAAACCAAAACTTTCTTGACCCCCATGCAGTACCTATGTGGACCCCCTAGGGGGCCCCGTTGAAGACCTCCGCCTTAAAGCCATCAGTTCATATAGACTCCCTCTGCCTGTGACCAGGGTTCCCGCGGGTCCTTAAAAAGTCTTAAAAGGCATTGAATTCTTCAAAATAAAACTAAGACCTTAATTGGTATTAAAATGTCTTAAATCAGTCTTTTGTAGGTCTTGATTTTTAAAACATCATAAATAGGATTATTTTTATTACGATTTATTTTTGTAATCTAAATAAAACGTTAAAATTGACAATTTTTTTTTTCTTTTTATTAAAAAATAA